TAGTACTATACTATATATATTATATAATATAGTATATTATATACTATATATATATATGGTCAGATCAATAAACGTGTTAATATGATAATGACCATAAAAAATCATTCTTAACTACGTACTAGAGAGAAGTTGTGATCACACGCGAAGACAGTTATGCCTTTATAAGACTATATGCGACTTTCGTCAAGTGATGATTTCTGCCTCAGAGACACGAATAATCTAGTCTGACAAGCGCATCGCTGTTTGTTTATCCGAGCTGGATATTTTGTCCTCGAGTATCTTTTCGAGTATAGAGTATTTTGGTCTCGAGTTTCTGTTAGAGTATCTGACTTATTAGATGCTATAGCGACAAGGGCCCGTTTCGTCAGAAACAAATTTAGTCTTAAACATTAGCTCCTTCCCCTCCCCCCTCCCCCTCCCTATCTCCTCACAAACTTTTCTCTTACAAGCCGTTCCAGAAACTTCGTAATGCTTAAAGAGAATTAAAACACTTTCTCGCGTAACCCTTCTCTCTGAACTTAGAGATCTCCCATAGACCCCTCCCTTAACTATAACTATAAGTCGATATTAAAATCAACACATTTACACTACGAATTACAATAATAGTGATATCTATATTTTATAGATAATAATTGAAAATGTGTGTTTTTTTCTTGAAATCAAACCGGTTCAAACGCCCATTAATTAATGTCTACCGCCTAATAAACAAAAGCATAATACATTTACCAAATGACGTATGATTTGCTTCTCTTGTTTTAAAGGTTTGCGAACGCTTGCCACGATTCTCGCCGATCTCGTCGTATACAGGGTGATAATCTTGTCTTGTCTTGTGCAGAATAAATTCATGACCACAGTAATTTTTATCAAATATTATTTCATATGTGTGTTAGCCATCAGTAGATTATGCATAAATTACTGTGATGTACAATAAATGTGTATGAATATTGAATTTTGTGGAATCGACTTCTCATCAATCAGCAGCCTTGATGACATGAAATTATGAAGCTTCACTGTTATGCTGTGAGTTTCACTTAAAGTAAGTTAGTTGAAGTTTCGTTTCTGGCAACGCTATTAAATTAACCTTACATTAACATTAGCACTTAAACATTAATCGGTATGTTTTACGAAGTTTCTGACACGGGCCCAGGTCTTGCAGCCCTAAAACTGAATGAAAAACATTGAAACATCTCCTGTTGACGGTGTCCGTTATTTTACAGGTTGTCGACGTTGCGTCAGTTTAATTTAATGCAGCGACGACTTGTCGGCGTTGGAGTCTGTGGAAACCACACATAAGGTATTTACATTATCGTACACCAGCATTAAGTAGAATCTATAACGTAGCAGTAGAGTTCTGCACAAAATCAGTTTCGTTTTGTCAAAAATGGCAATGAACATTGAATTAGTTATGCCGCTTACATCACTATATATATATTACACTATAATGTATGTGCCATCATGTGCGCTGGCTGTTGCGGTGCATTCGTGTGTGCGTGCTGCCTGCATTGCGCTACGCTGCCGTCTGCCGCAATGTGTGTGCGGGCTGCTTGCGTGTGTCTGTGGATGCGGAATAAGGTGGGGACTGCGCGCCTGCGTGTTTTAGAATGCATATTGCCGAACGTAAACTTATACATAGAAACGATCCTAAATGAGAGTTAACATTTCTAGGAAAAAAAAAGCTTCGCGTCGCTTTTTTATCACTCGCCCTGTCAGCAATCGATAGCATTAATCACCCTTTTTACGTGTTTTTGCCTCTTATCTCAGCATCATGACTTTACGAGGCATTCACAAATTTCGGCGCACTGCAGCGATGCCGAATGTATAGGACATGCCAGCGCGCCGGAGGCGCCGTTCGCAGAAGCAGGCATTCTGGCGACATTCTGGCCGGCCAACTGACTGCGGAAAGTGCAATCGCGTGTGAGCTTAATAATCAGATGTCGAGCATATAATCCAACATAGTTTATTTGTTGTCGTATTTCGGTTCTTGTCTATTATCTAATTTAAATTACTGTTAAATTCGTTAGCTGCCTCAACAGCACGCAGATGAACACTATTTCAACATATATTGATATTATTAACATATCTATGTATATGCACATAAGTCCAAATAATCAGTCAGTCTTCACGCAGCCTACGACGATGCAATTTGAATGACGGGCCCGCGCTGCCTCTCCCAATTTTTCCCCTCCTGATAAGATTGTTAGACGCTTACATGATTAATTGCTCTATTAGCGAAAATGCCTCACCGGTCACTGCCAAGAATCACAACATGCACTGCGCTTTGCCGACAAAGACAAAAGTTGACGTTAGCTACGCCCTCTATATCATATTATACGTCTTAGTCAAAAACTATCAAACGCTATCAAAATTGAATGTTAGCTACGGCCCTACTCTAAATCAATTTAAACCGCTATTAAAATGGTCGTTTTAGATACGTCCCTACTAAACAATTTAAACGGCTATCAAAACGTATCAACGCTTATTAAATATGTCGGTTAGATACCGCGCCTACTGCACAATAAATCTACTCCAAAACTAATAAGCAGCTTGCTCGTATGCGTAATACTTGCTAATATTAGATCCGTGATAATTTCGCTGACGATCACTTTGACGCGTTGCGTCTTTGACACAGAACGGGACGGTGAAGTGCGTGTCGGAGAGCTGTCCACCGCTAGAGTGCGTTCATCCTGTGATGATACCTGGCCGGTGCTGCCCCCAGTGTCGTAGTGAGTTTACGTTTCTGGTTGGTTGTGCCATATAGAGGTAGCTGTCGTGCTGTTATGAGACGGGATGTCCACTGTGCTGCTATGCACGTCCACATAGTGCCTACAGAATGTGGTGGCATTGTGTGTGTATGTGTGCGTGCGTAGCCGTGCGTGTGTTCAGCTGTGTGTGTGCTGTGTGTGCTGTGTGTATGTGCTGTCGTGTGGTGTGTGGTTGTGTGGCCACTCCTGTGTGTGTGTCGGTGCAGCTGCGTGTGGTTGTTGCGGTGTGCTGCCTAACTGCGTTCCGCTGTGCGTTTTCGTTTTGCGTGCCGTCTGCGCCGTGCCTGTGCCCGTGAGTGTGTGTGTGGTTGTGCTGTGCTGGACAGCTACCTAGCTAGCATGCTGCACATAGCCAACCAGAACGTAAATCGTCACTACCGAACACTGCGGCTGTGTGGTGTGTGCCTTAGCACCGGCACCCCACATTGGAATACAGGATGAGCGCACAGCGGCGGGACGCTTTTCCGACACGCACCCCGTCAGGCTTGTCACTCAATATCAAATTGAAGGTCAGCTGCAACATTAGCACGACTGATATCGAGCATCAAGATTCACGCATGACGAGCAAGCGGCCGATTTAGGTTGGGGATAGTCGGAAAATTTGGCGGCCCAGGAGACGAGCGACACCCCATTAATTTAGGGAGTAGGTGGATAGCCGTGTACATGCGGCAGGTACAGGTTGGTGTTGTGCGTAGCAAACCCAGAGAAATGCCCTGCCGTCGTCGTGGTTAAGGAGTGGAGGGCGTACCTGTTAGCAGCTCGGAATGAGTGTTGAGAGCGGGTGTAGTAGTGGGGGACTGAGCGCGAGGGTGTATACGTGTGTGTACGTGTGGCGGGGTACGGCTACGGGTGCGTAACTCATGTATTATCGCGGACCAAATAGATAGAAGATAATCTGTATTATGTTATATGAACTGTTACTTATAAGGACAGCTGATAGAGTGCTATGGGGTCCATCCTCAAATATCCTCTTACTAACGACAGTAGCGATACAATCACAAAACTCCGGCACCAGCTTCTCGCATACCTTCACCGTCTCTCATTCGTTTCGATACGCTCTCTTTATTAAAAACAATACACCCTAAGTTACAGTAGAAGCAGCAGTGCGGTCGCCAACAGCCAGAGTAATTACATGGCAATGGTGAGGATCGGCGTGGGCGCATACTGTAAGGTTGTACGAAAAGTCGGGGGTTACAGTAGACAGAGTTAACAGTGAACTGTGAGAGGGATTTAATTAGTTAGCGTCGTGCGAAATGGCGTGCGAATTGCTCTTAGTGAGACGAACTGGCAGTGATATCCAATTCAAGGCCAGACACAGAAAGTTCCCCGGCAAGCACAAGGAGATGTGCTTGTAAATTCAAGTCATCTTTGCAGAGAGGAGTCGAGGGTTTCAGGGTACGGTGATCACAACGCGCCAGCGCTGGATCCGAAACGACGGAGAGACCTTCACTCGCGGACGTGCAGAACGGGTGCCAGTCTACGGCTACGTATAACCCGCGCATCTACGACACAAGCAAATACTAATCATTAATACCTAATATTCTCGCTTCTCGCATTCGTCATTAGTGATTTTGTCCTACGAGATGTCTCACACTCGGGTTATATGTTTAATTTATTATTAGCATTGTCTGATACAAAAACTCTGTATAAATTAATATAGTTTATTCATATTAGTATCAATTATGTATATTTATATTCGTATAAAACAATATGTTACCTTCAAAATGTAAATTCATAAGTTTGTAAAAAGTAAATATAAATTGAAATTGAACTTAAAGTGAGTCGAATTATGAGGATCGCTTTCCTCGGTTTCCGCTTTAGCTACCTCTACCTCAAACTTACTCGACGATATAACTACGTCAACATTATCTTCCTATTTGTTCGCACTAGGTTCAAAATCGAGGAGCTCCAATATGACTCAAATCTTTTCACAGCAATTCCCATAGCTAACTCTCTTTGGTCCCCGCCTTCACACTTTGGTTCAGCTTGATTCTATGAATGAATTGACAGAATAAATGTAGCATGAGAGAGAGTGATACTTGAGGTCTATTGCCCATACTCTATCGGTTGCCCGTTGACGAGCGCTCAATACTGGGCGGAAGAGCAGCGATGTATATTGCCCTATGGAGTTTTTCTTGCCAGATTCATTTAATTTTACTCAACCTCACCATGTTCTGTCTCTGCGTTCATATAAGCCACTAATTATATATTGACAATTATATCCTACATTCTGTGTATTACCACAAATAGATAGAAGATATCTGTATTATGTATATGAACATGTTACTATAAGGCAGCTGATAAGCTGCTATGGGGTCCATCCTCAAAATCCTCTTACTAACGACAGTAGGATACAACAAAAACTCAGCACCAGTTCTCGATACCTTCCCGATCATCTCATTCTTTCCGATAATCTCTATTAAAACACTACACTCCTATAGTTACAGCAAACAGATGCAGTAATTACAATGAACGCCTGGGACATCTGTAAGGTTACGAAAGGTTAGCAAGTTACAGTGATGTGAAATTTAATAGTTCTCGTGCAAATGTGCTCACGACTGGGAACAACTACCCAGACAAGTTCCCCCGGCAACACTCAAGGATGTGTTTTAATTAATACTGCAGCGAATCGTGTTTCAGGGTACTGTCACACGCGCCAGCGCTTGGAACACGGAGAGACCTTCACTCCGCGACCGTGCAGAACGTGCCAGTGTACGGTACGTAACCCCGCGATCTACACACACAGCAACTAATAATACTATAACGCTCGCATTCATGTGATTCCCTGACTACCGGTAGATGTTTTAATTTTATTAGCATTGTCTACTAACTTGTATAAATTAATATATTTATTATATTATATAAATTATTATATTTATATTGTATAAAACAATATGTTACCTTCAAAATGTAATTCATAAGTGTAAAAAAAGTAAATTGAATTGAATTGAACTAAAGTGAATCGAATATGGGTAGGGTATAGATAGTACCTTACCTCAAACTACATCGACGATAAACTACGTCAAATTATCTTCCTATTGTTCCCCATTAAAATCAAATATACTCAAATCTTTCACAGCATAAGCTCAAACCGTCTTTGCCGCGTCAACATTTGGTTATAGTTGATTAAATAACCTTATCGACTTTCATAATATAATATTTTCCGGAGTTAAACCTGTGTGGCATGTTATCCCGGCGAGTTCAAGATTTCGCTTACCTTTAACAAAAGAATCGTCAAGATTTCATTAATGGAGAAGAGGCCAATAATGTTGATAGAAGAACGTCTTTCATAGCGATGGAACAGAGGTGGTGACAGAATAATGTAGCATGAGAAGAGAGTGAATGATAATGAAAAACATGAAACATCTCCTGGTCTGACGGGTCCGTTATTTTACAGGTTGTCCGACGTGTGGTCAGTTTAATTTAATGCAGGACCGAATGTCGGCGTTAGAGAGTCTCGTGGAAAACCTTACACAGAAGGTATTTACATTATCGTACACAGCATTAGTAGAATCATAACGTAGAGTAGAGTTCTGACAATGTTTCGTTTTTGTCAAAAATGGCATGAACATTGAATAGTTATGCGCTTACATCACTTATATATATTACATATAAATGTATGTGCGTGCGTGGTGTGCGTGCATTCGTGTGTGCGTGCCTGCCTGCATGCGTACGTGCGTCTGCGCAATGTGTGTGCGTGTGCTTGCGTGTGTTTGTGTGGAAAGGTGGGGACTGGGTGCGTGTTTAGGATATTGGAACGTAAAATTATACATAGAAACGATCCTAAATTGAGTAACATTTCTAGATTTCGGTCACTTTTTTCACTCGCCGTCAGCAATCGATACATTAATCCCCTTTTACTGTTTTTGCCTCTTTCTCAGATCATGACTTTAGAGGATCACATTCGGGACCTGCAGCGATGCGAATGTAATAGGACATGCAGGGCCGAGGGTTCGCAGAAGCAGCATGGCGACATCTGGCGGCCAAACGACTGCGAAACGTGCGCGTGTGAGGTAATAATCAGTGTCGACATTAAATCCAACATAGTTATTTGTTGTCATTTCGGTTTCTTGTCTTATTATTAATTTAAATTATCTGTTAAATTCGTTAGCTGTAACAGACCGGCAGATGAACACTTTCAACATATATGAATATATTAACATATATGATATGCACATAGCAAATAATCAGTCATTTCACCAGCTACGAACGATCGCAATTTGAAATGACGCCCGCTGCCCTCCCCCTCCTGAAAGATGTAGACGTTACATGATTAATTGCTCATTAGCGAAATGCTCACGGTCACCTGCCAAGAACACAACATGCACCTGGCTTTGCCGACCAGACAAAATGAGTTAGCTACGCCCTACTATACAATTATACGCTATCAAAAACTATCAAACGCTATCAAAATGAGTTAGCTACGCCCTACTAAACAATTAAACGCTATTAAAATGGGTTAGATACGCCCTACTAAACAATTAAACGCTATCAAAAACTATCAAACGCTATTAAAATGGGTTAGATACGCCCTACTAAACAATTAAACGCTATCAAAAACTATCAAACGCTATTAAAATGGGTTAGATACGCCCTACTGAACAATTAAACTCTATCAAAAACTAATAAGAAGCTTGCTCGTATGCGTAATACTTGCTAAATATAGAATCGTGATAATTTTGCGCTGACGATTCATTTGGTCTTTGACACAGAACGGGACGGTGAAGTGCGTGTCGGAGAGCTGTCCACCGCTAGAGTGC